GGCGTGATGCACGTACAAAGTTGTTGTTTTGCTCGTTATGTCTAAACCTACTGGTTTTTTGGCGTTCTCGTTGCCTTCGTCATCGTCGTTGCGTAAACTTCCTAATGTTGTTTGTGGAAGCTGTGGCATAAAACTAGCAGCCAAAACTTCAAAAAATCCAAAATCATGCAGCACAAACTCTAACTTTCTCAAGCTATGACGCAGATGCACTGCAGCTGTTCCAAAATTTAAATTGGAAAAATCTTACTACTCAGCGTGATATCCAAAAAGCCTTAATGGTTTTTAAATCCCTTAATGGCCTTGCTCCTGAGTACCTAACCTCGAAACTTATTGCTCGATCTAATTAACAATTATTCGTCGAGCCCGAAAGGGCTCCGAGTCAATAGTCCATGAGGCCGAAGGCCAAATGGGCTATTGACTTAGAGGCCATGAGGGCGACAGGAATAATTGTTTTAGTAAAATCCAACTAGTTGGTCAAAAATATGGAGAATGAAAACATTTTAGCTAGTTAAAGCTAGACTTTAATCCTTTTTTGCCGCCAAAAAGCCGGCGCTTTTCGCTACTAGGGGCTATAACATATAGCCTAGTAGTAGCTCAACCAATCAGAACGCAGCATTGATAATAGACCACTAGTTGGATTTTACTAATACCACTTTATACACTTTGCGAGATTCTGTAAATAAATTAACTATTCCACAGCCACACACAAATTATCTCCGTAATAGTTTTCGCTGCAGTGATGCTGTTCTGCTGGAATAGTCTTCCTGAATAATTATAATACTGTATTTAGCGGAACCCAGTAAATATAATTAAGGTTTTTAAATGTTTTATAATATTTCATGCCTTATGAATTTGTAACACCGTGCATAAAAAAAGAATACCTTACCTTACCTCACTGTTTAAGCGGCGATAATTATTTTATTAATATTTGAATTCTGTAGCGACGCAGTATCGCAATCACAATATTTCGCTTTATTGTGCCGAACGGATTTAAGTGAAATGCACTGACTGTGGGAAAAAAAACATAGTCAGCACTTGCTAGGAACCAATACACAAAGGAAAAATACTTACGAAGGTATGTTTCAAAGTGTCAATAATTCGCTTCATTCTGATGTGAGTGAACCAGGAGGATGAAATTTTGGCAGTAGTTTTTCGGTGAAAAAAGGAAAACAAACCCAATTTGTCAATTTTTTCTTTCCCTTTTTTTTTTGTCAATTTGTTAAAATTAAAATGCTGAAGGTGATATGTGAGGATATAAACGTGTAGACCACGACTGAGAAGAAAATAGGATCACGGAAAACCGATTTGTTTCGTAAATTAGGACTATGTATATGCTTTTTTTTTTATTCTTTCTAATCATAAACCCTTAAACTTTTGAGATCTAAAGACAGAGAGGAAAATCACAAGTTACCATTGTTGAAAAAATTCTGAACCATATAAGGTATTCTCAAAATAATTTACAGAGTCGCTCATTGTTAAACAGTAGGAAAAATATCAGCTGTACAAGAAACTTTACACTATACTTGGATCGCAAGACTTGATACTTTTCACAAAAGTTTGATTAATCTGTGAGTCAAAAATACTACTCTTAATCCCTTTATTGTCTGAATGTAGGGAAAACGTCAGTTGTACAGGAACACAATTTGAAAAATACATAAGTATAAAGCAGTAATACCTCTCATTGCATGATGGCCAGTGACACTCCGATTTTAATACGTGGCTAAGAAATCATCATGGACGTCGAAAATTTCTCCTCCATCACAATCTCCATGCTTATACTTCTGCCATTAGTGGCTATCTTCGCAGCCCTTGGAAATGGTTTTGTCCTTGCTGTCATTGCTCGGTTTAAGAAGCTTTGCACCTTTCCAAACATTCTGATTGCCAACCTTGCGTTTGCTGATATATTTAACGCACTCATCAACGTACCAGTGTACTTTCTTTGGGGTGTGCTGAGCGTCGATTGGATGAAGGGAAAGATATTAGCGACTATTTCGGTTTTCCCACATCACCTCTTTCTCTTCCTCAATTTAGTTTCCATGTTGGTGATGATGGTGAATGTGTTTCTGGCGGTGGCCCTTGACCTGAAATATTTCACCTGGAAGACCAAAGAAAAGGCTAAGAATATAGTCCTGGTTGAATGGCTAGTCTGTCTTACAAGTGCCGTTTTGTCGTCGTGGTATCACAGTCATGATGTCGACTTAAAAGATGTTCCCGTTTTCAGCTATCGCCGTTCTTTTTCCATTAAAACCAGATATTACAAGGCAGGCATCATCGCAGCCTTCATGGTCGCCACAGCAGTATTCGGCTTCCTGACTTTCTGCTCAATTCGAAGAAGAAAACGGCAGGTGAGAAAAATAATTTTGTTAAAAAAACTTTTAGCCTCATCTTTCGAAACCATAAAGCAAATTACAAGTTACAGTTCCATTGTATGAGTTCAATTGTTTATAAATTACCTGTAGCAACTAAAACCGGAACCGTGCCGGAGCTATCGCAGAGGTAACCTTCATCGAAACAGATTAGATTTTCAGTTTTTTCACCTAATAGTGAAAAATTCAACTGAAAAAATGTACCCTCACAGTAGGATCCCTATTCAAATCTCCTATTTCTTAATGTAGCAAAATGTTCTGATCATTTGTGAATTGTTTTGCCCCTGTATTTGGATCTTCAGCCTTCCGAATCCAGCTTTCAATTTTCCTGGACCGAAATAACCGATCATTGACGAAGTAGACTTAATTAACACTCGAAATTTTTCAAAAATGAAGTTGATAGTAATGATGCGCGCTGTTTTTTAATTATTCCATAGAGAAAGAAACTTAACCTGCCTCGACTCCAGGCCGAAACTAGACTTCAACAGGATATCAAGGCGACCAAAACTGTGATCATCACTGTGCTCGCATTCCTTGCTTGTTACATTCCGCCCACCGTCATTGCAGCCTGGGTTCGTTCCACTAACTCCACAGATATTAAAGCCTGGGCACCTCACTTAGCCTACATTAGCATTTTTATTTCCAGCGCAATTAACCCTGTCATCTATTGTTTTCGAGTTAGACGCTTTCGCCTTGCACTAAACCAACTTCTTCAAGATCCCTGTGGAAAAAGCACTTTCCAAGAAACCAAACGACAGCTACGTGATAGGGAACAAGGGAATGTAGGAGGAGCTGAAAAAGGCAAGAAAATCGACAATAAATCTCACGAAAAGAGAAGCGGAACATACGCTCGAAATGAAGTCGTGCCTTACCCAAACAGTCTTACAGAGGCAAGATCAAAAGAAGAACGCCAGGATTACACGCATCATGAATTCATTATGGAGGTACACCCAGAACCTAAAAACTTATCGCCAAAAACGAAAAAATCAGCAGCTGCAACGCGCACTTAAAGTTTCTCAAGAAAAGACACCGTGGAAGAGATTCACGCAGATCCAATGGATAGTCCACTGACCAAAATGTTAGAGGGAGTATTGGGAACATTAGATCACCATGGAGACTTCGATGTGGAGATACACACAGATTCTGAGGGCCAAACATTAAACTACAGTATGATGAACCATCCTATAGTCAGTGCGCATTGCGCGGGTAAAGTCATTACAGACGTAAATCCAGGTTCCCAAACTTGTCAGGAAATTGAAGACAGTCTACCCGCCTGTACCGATTGAGCAAAACAGGTTGTCCCAGGTCTCAAAGACAAACCCCCAAACCTGGAGGAATTCGTGGACAGTTCACCGGTTTGTGCAGGTTACCTGGGCCAAGCATTAAAAGAAAAAACGTTTGGTTACCAAAAGTGAACCGTCATGAAAACAATAAACTTTTGTGAAGCCGGCGTCCATCGTGCACCGCGGATTGCAATGCACTTTGATAATTCGGCATAACTGTCTGTGCTTATCGCTGTCTGGCTTTTGAATAACAATGAGAAACAGAATTGGTTTGAGGTGCGATTAGTACTTCAGTTACGCGTACGGTTATCTCGTGTGTAGTTGCAGTTTGTAGAAAACCGCATTTTTACAGGAGTTTTCTCATCGGTTGAGCGTTTACGCTGTTACCGTTTTGGTTTGCTCTGTTACGAACAATTTTCCGTTAAGAGAGGATCATCAGCCATAACCAGCTTTACCGTAACGATTGTTATATGCAGTCAGTAAATTAGTGTCCACAGTCAGTTTAATTTTCAGTTCTAGTTACAGTTTCAAACCAGAGATTTATTGTTATCGGGAAAAGTACCGTAGCCTGAATTTCTGACTTTACCACGAGTTGCTTACTCTCTCAGTAACTGAGCCAAGCGACTCGAGGTAATGTCTGAAATTCAGGCCAAGGAAACCGGTGACAGAAGTAAGTTTCCAGTGTCAGTTTTTGTCCGTTTAGTCAATGGTTGTCTTTACACTAGGCTGTTAAGTAAGACTTAGGAGCTGCTAAGTTTTACTTAACCAAAACTTCGTGTGTGAAGGCCTAAGTAAAATCTCAAGTAACTTTACTTTGCATCTCATTACTGCGCTTTTCACAAACATGCGAACTCTCAAGTTCTAAAGCCGCCTTCGCAATTGCGTTTTTCGCCGCCGTCATAGCCTGAATTTCATCCGATTACTTCGAGTCGTTATTACTCCCTCAGTAACGTCTGAATCGACCGGCCGTTAATGCCGTCCAGTGACGTCACTAGTCCTTGACCTTTGCTTTAATTCATACAAAAAGTAAAACACGACTTTCAAGTGGCAAACCGAGAAATATCGTTTGGAAATGTCTGCATGATACAGGACTGCTTTATTTTTTTCGATTGTAATTCATGTTTAACGTTCAAACTATCAACTGCATGCAGTACAACTCTGAACCGGTTGTACTAAATTCTATAAATATCAAACTCGGTCGCAATCACGCAAATGAAATAAACACACACACGGAACACTTAGTTCAAAAACACAATGATTTGCTTTAATTAACGAAGAAAAAGGAGACAAGAAAGAAAAGCTAACAGAATTATTACACTTGACGGTAAAAATAGTAAGAAGGTCGAATTATAACATTGATCTCAGAAAACTTCGCGTAAACAAAATCACCGGCCGCCGAAACCACAAAGCGGCTCTAAATGAAAAACCTACCCACTCTCCGCAATGATTCTTCATTCGCAGTTCAATTTAGCACTTCAGTTTCGAAGACAAGGGCAATTTTGCTGGTTAAGATAAAGATTAAGCTTATCGAAATGTTTGAACTAAACGAAAGAATGCCGGGGATGCGATCTGCTGAATATCAAGCGACAATCGCGCCAAAATTTTTCATAATTATACATAATTATGCGAATGTTTAAACAATCAACCAATCAAAATCACTACCCGGTTTTCGGGTAGTGAGTGACGTCACTGGACGGCATTAACGGCCCGTCGATTCAGACGTTGTTGAGAAGAGAAAACGACTCGAAGCAATCGGATGAATTTCAGGCTACGCCGTCAATCATAATTACGATCACAAGGAACGAACCTTGAAACACAAAAACACACTAATCGAAATCCACCAATCACAAATCACAAACCTTGACCTTTTGAACCCGTTAAAGTAAAGTTTTGTTTCCTAAGAGGTCCGTTAAGATGATTGACGGCAGCGAAAAACGCAATGGTCAGTTGGCTTTTGAACTTCAGAATTCGCATGTTTGTGAAAAGCGCAGTAAAGTCGGAAAGTTGAAAAGATTCAAGAAAGTTTCAAGCGACTTGAAAACCATCCTTATGAATGACTTAGCAGACTTGCGGTTACTTGCGGTTTCTTGAACTTTGAAAAAGGCGATCTTAATCATGTTGCGTGGGAAAATAACCTGAAGTTAACCTGAAGTAAAACAGATTGATCAGTTGTGTGTGAGGCTTTATTTTACTTGAATTAATTAAAATTTTCTTGTCTTGAAACATTTCTTAGCTTATTTAGGCTCTAGTGTAAAGACTACCAATATTGTAAATGCTCGTGCTGTATTCAATTGTATTTCAGATTGAATAAAGGCTTATTTTTAAATTATACCCTTGACGGTTTCTTGGTTGACATTGGAGAGATTTAGAATCGCGTTTACTGCAACCGGCAAACGTTAATTTGAACTACGTCACCAAGTTATCCTCTAACTTTAAATTTACTATTTATTATATTTGCAAAATAATATGTGGTTTCATGACAAGTTCTTCCAAAAGAATTAATTTGTTGGACACTTTTTGCTGGTTCCTCAATTCAGAGGCTAGGTTAAGTTGCCAACATGAGCCTCGCGTTTGCCGTTTGCAGTGCCGTATTTGTACGTGAAACAAGTGGAAAAAAGGGAGGTCGACCTAAGGCTTGAACTAGCTGTTTGCGAATATTAAATGCAAGAAAATTCCTCGAATTTCATTGAGATTTCAAGAGTAGCCAATATGGATCCCTTAAAAGTTTTGCTGAGGATACACGTTCGAAAGAAATGCTTCCAACTATAAGGTCAATGTAATTGTTGTTAATTTTATGATAGGAAGAACATTAGCATGTACTTTATTTTAGTAGGATTTAGGACTAGGCTTGTTTCGTTTGCCCAACAGGTAAAGCAAAAGGCAAGTTCACCGGGTTTGGATGCTTGATATTATTGGTTGTATCGATGGGAAGGACAGTCATAGTTTTCCTGCAAATCAGCCACATATATGATGAAAATTAGTGGATCTCTGATTGAGCCTTGTGGGGTCCCTAAGCCAAAGCTCACACAGATTTTGAAATATGGTCATCAATTTGAACAAATTACTCTGTTCCACAAAGGTAGTTTATAGAACTGCGAACTTTCTGTGATCGTCTATGTTCTGCCAGGGCAAGAACCATTATGGCTCAGTCTTGGCCGGGGATAAGCTGGCCATTGATTCACTCGTCTTACCCGATCCCCCGGGATGTAGAAGTTCTACACCAGCATGATAACCCGCTTGGGATGTCGGGTGCCTGTTTGTGGACTGAGTCTCACTCGGCCCCAAAGAGAAAGAAAGTTACTAATAGAGTGTCTGACAAATTGTTTCCAATCAAAGATTTGAGAATGACAAACGCGAGTCTGGTAGACTCTCCAAGTGTATAATTATCTTGCCAATTAATTTCGTTGATCTCGCAAAATTTTATTGTATTCTCGAGTTTTGTAGTGCATGTTCGAAATCTTCTTCGTTTTTTTCCCTCCTCCCTCATTTGCATTTCCCCGTCAAATTTTGTTGATGACGTCGCAATTTTTTTCTTTAATTTTTATTATTTTCGTAGCTAACTGTTAAGCTAAATTCATTGACACTAAAATAAAGTCATTATTATTATTATTATTATTATTATTATTATTATTATTATTATTATTATTATTATTATTTATGTAGTTTTGGAAATTTTCGTTGTTTCGTCGACAGCATTTCATCCCCCATTCGAATTTTCCTGTTAACTTGTTTTAATGGCCTTGCGAAATTTCCTCTATTTCTGCTATTTTCTTTGCTTTCTTAATTTTCCATCAAGGGCCTTTCATCGCCTTACTGGTATTTACGTTGTTGGCCGCACAAACTTTTACATTTCTCAATATTTTCGTACTTTTCTTGGTTTTTGTTACTTTCCATGTTTCAGGTTGAAAACCGTTCATCGCCTCCAGTTCCGTCATATTGTTCTTGAAATTGCATATAGATTTTGATTTCTGTAAATTCGTAGCTAATTTCAATCTGAAACACGCTCCTACTTTGAATCTCAAATAAGCTTTTTCCTTTTTTCGGTGTTATCACCTGTCCACTAGAAGATGCACCCATATTCCTTTCTTTTCTTTCTCCTTTTTTTTGGCGGAAACATCGCGGACAACAATGAACCAATTCGTGAGATAAAAAACATTACAATTCCCTACACCATTCAAACACCGTAGGTTTACTCGAGATTTTTTAAACCTTCCGATAATTCGAACAACTTTACCATCCCAAAATGGTTCGAAGAATCGGGTTTCTGCTGTAGATGTACTACAGTTTCGACGTTGAAAAAAGAAAAAAAATAGGGGCGAACAAAATCTAACTTAAAGTGTTTTTTTTTTTAACTTTTCAAACTTTTATTAAATACTCCACAGCGTTATAATACTAACGTTACATGGCAGAACATGATATTACATTACAATACGTTACCAAGGCACTACATTACATTACAATATGAATTTTAATGGTAAAGTAACTATACGAAAATGAAAATTACATTCTAAATACACACGTCACTGGGGTACAGAGTCCAAAGGCAGAGCCCACTTCTTATTAAATTTGTCCATTTTATTAGTTTTAACACATATATATACTTTTCTGTTTCATACTTAATTTTAATCTTAGATGAAAAGGCAGTTATGACTGGAAGACTCTCCTTTCTTCTACAACCCCATAAGTATCAGTATCAAATAATTCAGTAAAGGGCAATTTGATGTATATATAATATTCCTGCAATAACGTCTTGTAAGGTCAGACAGACGAATTCTTTTGTCAATGTGTAAAAGTAATATTGAAATCCCTTCCTTCCTTCATTTAATCTTACTTAAAGTGGTTAACCTTTAAAAGAAACAAATAAGAATCATCAACAGCAACAATTTACAAATGTGTAGAATTTTAAAGGAACTTCCATTATCTCATAGATATATTGACCCTATAGATAACTGGGAAGGAAATAATATAATAGCGCAGCAAAACCTATCTAGAAACAACCGCTTTCGATAAGATTGCAAGCGATATCATCATGTAACAAACACAAAAGGCAATCAGTTAATTTTTTTTCTATCTTGTTATGTCACTCATTTCCGAATTTCTCTCTCTCTTTCTCTCTCTTTTTTTAAATTTTTTTTTTTTTTTATCATGCGCCGGACAGTGTAATACTTCAAGCGTTCCATGTCCGCCTTTGCAAATAGCTTAAATTTCAAAAGTGACTTACCATAGGATAATTAGGTTTTAAAAATTAATCTTAAGTTTATATTTTTATCGTTTACATTTAAAAAAAAGGAAATCTTAGGATATGTAGTTTCATCTTATGACCAATAAAGATCATCAGTGGCAAACAGTGTACCGTATTCAGTTCTGTTTACATCCTGAAAGCCTAATAGCTAAATATTTTCCCATCGTTTTCTTTCTTTTTTCTTGTCATTTGCAAAAAATTGCAGCAAGTACTTCTTTTCTGATCTCTTTTATACGAAAGCAATATAAGAAAGGATTAAACGCTGAATTCGCGAACAACAAAGTCATCGTATAACTCAAGGCGGCAATTTTTGTCGAGTTTACTTTAGTGGTTTGTATAACCACAAACATGGACAGATACGGAACATAGCAAGCAAACATCAGCAAATAAACGTAAAACATGTTTATCACAGATCTTTTCTGGACCCCGAATCTTGGGGTACTCGCGAAACTGCTCTCTTCTTCCTCCTTCCATCGTGCCATGGCTCGAATACGCAACCGACGAAGCTTGAACCAGAGCCACAAGTAAGCGAGTAAGCAGATGAACAAGCAAATACTGACAACGGTGATGTTGAACAATTGATAACTTATTATGTTCCAAAACCACAGGAACAGCCACAAGCCCGTTAGCGTCCAGATAGATATAATAACTGCGGCAACCCGTTTTAACGATACAGTAGACTGGTAACGGGAACCAAGATGAAGAGCAAGCAAACGATCTACCGAAATGGCAGTAATTGTCAAGAATGACACCGCAGAAAACACGTTAGCGGATAAATGGAATCCGATTCCGGTGACACAGTACAGCTCACGATTGTTCATCAGTTCGGCGGTCTTGTATATGACATAAAATGGCTGAACAGTTAATCCCACACCGATATCAGAAGCAGCAAGGCTGTACATCAAAGCCCTTGAAGGCGGACGAAGGGCAGCAGATTTCCTCAGAGCATGCAAAATCAAGCCGTTACCTAGTATCGCCGCGATGGCGAACAGCCCGTTAAGAGTACAATTTATAATGTACTCAGTGTTCAGTGGTTTCATTCTGAAGAGCTGGAATCGATCCAAGTAAAAACAGGTACTTCCCGGCAATCCACTGGTGGAGTTGTTCATCGCATTAGCCATACCGATCTCTTTCTTTTTAAGGTGGACCTCTGAATTTGATAAGAATGTTACTCCTAGCAATGATGAATTGGTAATAGTCAAGCCTCGGCAAAGAGCAGAGTTTAAACGCTTTAAAAAAAACAGCTGTAATATCGCTAGTATTTTCTATTTGCAAAGCGTCATTTGTCTTCCGATGTGACAATAATTCATAATAATGGATTATTTGCTGTCAAAGATGTCTCATTTACATCAAGCTGAAACTCAGGCACGTGATTACTTTTTCACTGAAGACGGTAGCTATAACGGGCGCTTTCCATTTAGGAAAAAAACCCGGAAATCTCGGTGGTAGCAAAAGTGGAATTTCCGATTGGTAAAAAGTTGTTCCATTTGGTCGTTAACCCCGGTACGTGGAGGTGCCCGACCGTGGACCTGGAACTGGTACAAACTACGAGAAACGTAAATGGAACACGAGATTCCGTTCGGAAATTCCACCCGGGAAAACGGGACCACCTTTTTAGATTTTCCACTTTTTCTGGGAATTTTCCAGTGGGACGAACCGACGAAACGTGTTCCATTTACCGCCGAACCGGAAATTCCGGAAATTTTGAGTAAATGGAAAGCGCCCAGCATCTACCATAATTGGAGCCGGCCTACGTGATCATGGCAAGTTAAAGGATACCGAATAAAAACCGTAGTAAACAGCACGCATTTAAAAAAGTTAACTTAATTAACATATTTACCCCGGCCTTTTGTGGGTTTAGTTAAAAGCGAGTCTGTTTCCTAAACTTGGTGCAAATTCATACATTAAAATCATATTTATAAAACCTTCGCTAAATGAAAATTTCTTCAGGTATTATACATTGCCATAGTATACAAAAGGCTAAAATTATTCCGCGTATGAAAAAAATAATAATAATTTCAGAGTTTCTAAGGATATCTCCTAATTGTAGAAACTTAGGATCATACAACGAAGGCAGCTATTTAAAAGTACTGTTTTAATGTTTTCTTCGTGTTTTTCTTTTTACATCGAGAAAGTGCAAAATATAAAGTCATGGTGCAATTTGTCCATGAATATTCAAGAAAGCTAGAATGGGTCATTTAAAGAAGGAAATCCATTTAGAGTGCGCTGTGATTACGATGTCGGAAGTTTGATACTGCCTCATATTTGTTGTACCAAGCAAACAGAAATGACAAGAAAATAACGCCAAACAGACTTTTCACCATTACAAATTACATTTTATTTACCCTGTAAATTTTTACCCATACTATCTCCGTTTCGTATATATTTTAATTAATTACGTATTATAATTTTCTCTTACCCTCCCTGTTCCGTATTGTAATCTTATTCAGACCGGAGGGTTTTCAAAAGCACCCCCCGCCCACCTTACGAAAAAGTTGAACAACTTCAGAACCGTTTAAGCTATGACAGGGAACATTAAGGCATCGTGACGTGTACGTCAGCTTTGACGTTACCATGGCAGCTGAGGATTTATTTCTATTTTTACCCTTTTAGCATTACAATTAAGGAGGCTTGAACCCATTTTTCAAGGTCTCACCGGCCTTATTGTTTGAAGTAGGCTTGCAAATAATTTTTCTTGCTTTATAATATGACACAAGTTCGACCAGGTCACCATTTTAGTTGGACAAACCTGAAAAGATTTCGGAAATACATTACACTGAATTATTATTATTACTTTTTTTAGTCCTTAGTATTTTACCTGTGGTCTGACAATGGGCAAATTTGACTGCACATTTTACCATGACCGAACAGTATAAATAATGAACAGCTGAAGCTAAAGGTAATTGTAAAGAAACAGTGTATACTGTATTTCTTCAGGAGCCGATTGCTCCTGATTTCCTCTATTTCACATCTCCCACTTACCTTACCTTACCACGCAATTACCTGCCCACCAACTTACCAAATTCAACAATGCAATAAGATGACTAATTTACTCACTAGACCGTGAAATGACTCCTCCTTCCTGTAATATGGCATTGATTAGTCTCGTTGAGGAATGGGAATGGGTGGGCAGTTGATTACAACAACTGTTTATATCGGTGGTGGTGCTTTTAGATCTGCGCAAGATATTAAATGTTGTAAATCATAACATATCACTACCAAAGCTTGAAATGGCTGACACATATAACTGCAGGGGAAGACTGTTGTTTCCTAGCGATTCGTAAGAAATTTGTTGCATTAAGGATAAGAGTCAAGTACTATGAGCTACAAGTTATTGAGTCCCACCAGGCTCGGTTCTTGGACCGTTTTTCTTCTCAAATATAGTAGAAAAATCCCTGATGCTGACAAAATAGGAGAGCATGCAAGTACAACTGCCGCAGCGACCAGGGATAATTACGACCTGAAAAATATCAGTCAACGGACATAATAGGGCCATTTATACGAGGAAAAATAAGACGCGTCTTACATAAGACGAGAACTTTCTGTATAAACGGCACCCTTCGTCTAAAGTAAGACGCGGCTTAGCTAAGACGCGTCTTATTAGATAAGACATGAGGGCCATTTATACGAGGAAAAATAAGACGCGTCTTACATAAGACGCGATTCATTCTTATGTAAGACGCGTCTTATTTTTCCTCGTATAAATGGCCCTATGCTCGTATAAATGGTACAGTTCGCGTCTTATTTTTCCTCGTGTAAATGGCCCTAATGATCGAGCGCTGGGGGAAAATGTGCACTATGCAACAATGCACTACAGCCCACATGAACTTTGATGATAAATAAATGGCATAAAAAATACTACCGGCTAGCAAATCAGACTGGAAAGACTCGAACGTTCCAAAGGGGTGTACTTGACCATGACTGCATAACAATAGGGCCATTTATACGAGGAAAAATAAGACGCGTCTTAATTAAGACGCGAACTGTACCATTTATACGAGCATGTCTTGTCTGATAAGACGTGTCTTATCTAAGCCGCGTCTTATTTTAGACAAAATAGGGTCATTTATACGAGCAAAAATAAGACGCGTCTTACATAGGACGAAGACGCGAACTTTCCGTATAAACGGCACATTTCGTCCAAAATAAGACGCGTCTTATTTTAGAACAGCCCTCAACACCTGTTCTTAGATAATACGCGTCTTAGCTAAGACGAGAAAAACTTCGTATAAATGACCTTCGCGTCTTACCGCAAACGCATGGTACGCATGCGTTAATTTTTGGCGGAAAAATTTTTGCGCCTTGTTGGTTGCCGTTGCTACGGGCGACACTCACATGAAAACGAGTCAAGAACAGAAATAAGACGCGAACCATTTATACGAGCTGTTCTTGTCTTAGATAAGACATGCTCGTATAAATGGTACAGTTCGCGTCTTACTTTTCCTCGTATAAATGGCCCTAATATTGTCGCACCCGGGAAAGACGGAGGCGATGAACATCAGGTCACTTTCATCATTGAAATGGTGGAGGAACACCAGCATTTGTCTCAATAATAGTCAAGTTTCGAATTCGTCGGGGCAGCTTAATTAAAGCAATGAAGACTCATTTATACAGGGATAGCTTCGACATAAAGTTTAATATTCACAAACACCAGCGAAAAGGTGCCTAAATTTGAAAAGGTGCCTGAGTTAAAAAAAAAAGAGCCATGTGCACTGTTGTTAACATAGGTCTTCCTCTGACTGGAATTTGTGAATATATTTACCTTGGTGCTTCACAATGAAAGTGCACTGACATGGAGCAATCACCTTTGCTGTGCGTCTAACCAGGTATAACCCAACGCTATTGACAATTTATTTTGAAGATGAAAAACTGTTTGGCTCGATTGCCAAACTTAATCGCTGGATGTTCCTGCGTTTTCAACTGGTCTTCTGGTCTGTGCTATTTGCGCGTGGTGACAATCATCTTCTAAAGTCGACTAGGGAAAATTTAAGATCTTGTACTGTGGCATTTGAATATGAGGACAGACCTACTATGTACACTAACTGTAAGGGAATAGTCTGACATCATACTATAATAATGATATTAGAGTGCTAGGAAAAAGACCAGAAATTATCTTTATGATTGTTTCATCTTGCCCTTTTGATACCGGAATCGGTGTGCTCTTATTTTGACGGACTGCATGGGGCGATTTCCATAGAGGTCAAGTTACGAACGTTGTCCCTCTATGTAATATCCATGGCCATCCTCAGCATTATCGGGTGTAACATCCATTTAGTCTTGCTTCTAGCTCGGAGTTAAGGGTTTAGGCTTCCCATCCTTACAGGAGATTTGTTTCCACTGTCAACACTGTGTCAGTTTTGTTTGAGCTCGTCGAACATATTGGATTCCATACTCCACGTCGTCAAGGGCTGGCCTGTACTGTAGCAACTTGTAATAGTCATCACACTTTGTAATAACTGTCGCAATTAGTATTAAACCGTGTAACAAAAAAAAACAAGCTGTCTCAATTTGTAATAACTACCCATCGCACTATGTAGAGGGGGACCTTGGGGGGTACTGTACAGTACCGCAAATGATCCCCAACCGCAAATGATCCCGAGACCGCAAATGATCCCCAAAATGGACCGCAAATGATCCTCGACCGCAAGTGATCCCTTAAGTCGACCGCAAATGATCCCGTAAAAACTTGAGGAATGGAATGGATTTTATGGGACTGATTACAAAAAAGGACTGATTATAAAAAAGAAACCTTTTTCTCTCGCCTTTTAAAGAAAAAGGGAAGGAGGACGCTACATCTCAGGTCAATTTATACAAGGCGAAAAAAAAAATGGAATAAATCTGAAAAGGAATGGTATTAACCGTATACTTCTTCCTTTGTCGATTGCTTTAATTTTCTTTCAAGAATGTTTCGTCTTTTGAAAAATTTAAGACAGGCAGGACGTTACGCAGAAAAAACTCTATTATTTTAACGCCTAGAAGCTCAACTTTTCTACTGAGGAATACAAAGCCGGGCACCCTCTACATAACAAGAGCTTTATTGACTTTACTGATCTTTTTGAAAGCGTGAAATCAATCAGCCAGAATATTTCATTTTGATTTTTCTCTGAAG